CATGTGGCTTTGTGGCTTTTTAGCGCCCCGTCCTCCCCTTCTATATAGATTTGTTGACCTAACTTGAGTCTCAGACTTCACCGCCGACTCGGGTTTGTCACTGCTTGTCCGTAGAGCCTTTGTCTCCAATTTTACCCTCTAGGGCACTCTCTGGATAATATGACTACAATCTACTTTCACTCAGAGGTGTTCCGATTGCTATCTGCAAGTACTTCAAGTTGGAGCCGGTCACAAAGCGAATTGGTTGCTCGAATTTTGATTCTGACCATAACGATGCCAGCCTCCTTGAGTTCTTATACGACCAGAGTCGTCGCGAACTTCCTTGCTCGTCAACGCAATAAGAAGGTAACGCTATCCTTGGCTTGTAACGCTCGCAGGTATTCACACACATGCCAGTCTAGCGAATTCCGTTTCCGCGTTTCACCCCCATTCTGCTCAGGGACTTGAAAAATGTCTAAGGCCGTCGGTTACAAATCAGTAGAAACGCGGCATCCGAAAGTTCGGAAGGCCAATCTCGTGGGCAGGATCGTCGCGCCTTTTACACAGCCGCGTCAGCCTCGCGGTGTCTCGCATCCGCGATTTCATCTTGTGCATAGACCGGTTACCAGTTCATCTTTTCAACATGATCACGGCGAAGCCTTACCTCATATTGCCACATTTCGCGGAATACAAATCAGCCTACCCGAAGCACCCGATTCGTTACCACACCACCTGTCCCTTATTCCTCTGTCAGAGGCACAGGCCCGCGAGGCGAATCGCCGAAGCGGAACAGCAACGTCTGAGGTTTCCACGATTTCTCCCTCAATTCAGTTGACTCAACACAGTGTCTGGGCGAAAATTGGTGGTCACAAGTCGCTACAGAATGCGTACGATTTTGGAACTTTGTCTAACTCGGTCGATGGTGCCGCCTCTTTGGAGAACGAAGCGAATGATCGCTCCTCAGGATGCAATGACCGAGCCTCATTTGCTTTCACCGTTTCGTCAATTTACTCCATGGCGAGCTGGTCCGGGCCTATCATCTTCGAAGACTCTGTCGGGTCGGATCATCTTCAGTAAATCGGAATGCTGTCCATTGGCCTGGTGTCTTGGGGGTGCTTGGCATGTCTTCGTGAGTGGAAACAGCCATCCGAGGTCCTCAGTGGTACTTTCCGAATGGTGACATAGTTTGGCTCATGACTGACCGAAATTCGCCATGTTTCTTTCATATCCTTTTTGTTCCGGTTTCGCAATCGGCCCGCCTTGTTTTCTACTCTGCAAGGGCTATGTTGTTCTGTAACTAATAGCCGTCGGTTTATCCATATTCTCTCCCATCAATCTCTCCCAGCGATATTCAAATGTTTCGTCTTCCGTGACTGCCGGTCATTTTTCTAATGGTGACAGTGATGCTTAAGTCTTTCCCCCCAGTCTATATTACAAGGAGATCGGCGTGAGTCCGTAATCCATATTTGTAGCCCCCCCCCCAACGGACTCCTGTCTAACAACTTGAAAACGGAATGTCCCCTCTTTCATTGCCCAGTAAAAGATAGGGTCAACGTCCGACTTTGGCCACGTCGCAAAATTCGAGAACGGTCCAGGCTGTGGTTGTTTGCTCATGAGTCTTCCGACCTGGGCGTTCGAACAATGCGTGGAGTCACTATAGCCACAGTCTGTCAATGTCGCCGTGTCCGCATATCCGCACCTCCGTCTCCACACTGGATATGATCGGCCCTCCTAACTTTGGACAGCAAGTCATATAGCCAAGGCAGCATTTGATAAACTCCACCTTCCCTGGTAGGTGTAGCTAGCTCCTTGACTTGCAATTCGACACTATGGCACACAGAAGCTCTCTCATTCCCGACCTCGCAGGCCATACGATTGACAATGGGCGACTCCTTATCACATCGACCCTCGGTTCTGGCTCAAATGGCGTGGTATTTCTTGCAATCGACACAACTTCTTCAGAGGAAAATCCTCTTCAATATGCAGTCAAATGCATCATCAAGCCAGAGAAAGGTTCGCCTCGGCACGACCGCCAGCGCCTGGAAATCTCGAACCATCTGAAGGCATCCTATCATCCCAATGTTCTCACCCTGCATTGTGTCCTCGAGGATTGCTTCTTCTTATATCTGGTCATGGACTACTGTCCTCGCGGAGATTTCTTTAAGTTCCTCTTGGATGGTGGTATTGCTTATGGCGACGATGATCTTGTAAAGGGACTCTTCCTGCAAATCATAGACGCTGTGGACGCATGTCACGAGCTGGGTATCTTCCATCGAGACATCAAGCCGGAGAACATCTTGTGCAGCGAAGACGGAACCCAGGTTTATTTGAGCGACTTCGGGTTGTCCACTCGGCGGCCATATAGCGGTACGTATGGCGCTGGAAGTTCGCATTATATGAGTCCTGGTAAGTTGCCCCCCGAAAATAACCTATCTGGCGCTCAATGAGCAGTGCAGAATGCATCGAAAGGGACGATCACACCCAAGCGTACTCGACTAGATCCAACGACGTATGGGCGCTTGGAGTAGTCTTGACAGCCATGATCTCGGGGCACAACCCGTGGCGACGTGCCACCCTGGACGACAAATGTTACTGCGCATTCATAAATAATCAAAATTTCCTTCTCCAAACGTTACCCATCTCGCCTGGAGTCAACCTCATCCTGAGACGCATCTTCTGCAGCGACCCGTCCAATCGCATTGAACTCCCGATTTTGCGCCTCACGGTCTGCCAAACGCACAACTTCTTCGCTAAGCGAGAGGCGGGCTTCATTCGCAGCCCTATACGCACTCCAGGCTCTTCCGGCAGTCGTGCCAATGTATTACAATGGCATGGAAGGGGCAGCCGACGAAGTGACAATTCTCATGTGGCCGAGGAATCCCGGGAACGTGATAATTATGACGAGCATAACGAGCATGTCCAGCAAGCTCCTGAGATACGGGCTGTTCCTCGATCATACCCCAGTGACGTGTCTATCTGGGACACTGAAAGCTTTGGCCCAGCCACACCCGAGTTGTATCCTCAACATGCGCTGCCCCTCGCAACCGAGTTTCCTCACAAGAACTTGGGTGCCCATGATTTAGCGAACAGAAAGAGGTCAGGTTCATCGTCGTCTATAAAATTCTTTCGACGTGTGGCAGAGAAATTATACCTATGTTAGAGCCTGTGGTTACCCTGGAGTAACAATATCTGTAGACATAATATTAAAAAAGCTCAAACCTGTGTTCTGAGCAATTCGAGGAACGACACCACATCCTTCGCAACCGATTCTCCATGTCTGTCTCGTAGCACACTCTCCCCCCCGCCATCTATATCAGTATGTACGAAGTCATCCTGCTGTTCATCCCTTATTTGGCCTTCGAGACCACTACTGATTCTCTTGGTGAATTCGGCGTATACCAGCGTAAATTCGCGGGCATGCTCGATCAGCGAGTCGAGTTTCTGCTGAGCAGACCGACCAGGCAGCGCACCAAGCAAGGCTTTCTGATTTTCCGGACAGTTTTGCATAATCAAGCCGAAGAGTACAGCCATATGACCGCGCACGACGGGGTCAAGCTCACTCTCCGATTCACCACGGTCCGCATAAACCAGCGCAAGACATTCTACCGCGCTCACGCGAGAAGTACAACGGCAAGCTCTTGTGCAGGCTCGTTTTCCTTTACAGCGAAAGTCCAACACTTGCATATAAAATCAGCACAGGCTGTCGTTTGCAAAAGTGGGGCTTACGGGTAGTGTTGGTTGTCTCTCTCGCCTCGTGAGAGACTTGCACCAGATTTGTGAGGAGTCCCAAAGCCAGACAGAGACGGTCGAGCGCTGGAGCTGCGCGATCAATTTGCTCTCCCTCAATATTGGCGTTATATGAACCTCCACGGTGTTTGCGGTCGCCGAGCGCATCAATCCGCTGCCAGTGGGAAAGAACGATGAGTCGCATGATTGTGGGTACGGCCGATGGTTCTTGAAGGACTGCCTGACACCACGAGAGATCATCATGAGTTAAATTAATCAAGACCCGCAAAGTAGATTCCATGCATCGGCTAGCTGATCACTCTCAGTGTGATTTTATAGCGACGGGCTAGATAGAGCTCACCAATGGACATCTGATCAAGATAGTCTGGATCTCGGGAGATGGCGTCGCATGCGACGCACAGATTTATGAGTGCCTTAGCAAGACCCTTCTCTCGTTGAGCTGAGAGTCGGTCCATGCACATCTTCCCGGCATCGGGCTGATTAGCCCAGCGCCCAAGGAGGAATGTATCGAGTAGTTGTAGACAATTATCCACGTGAAGTAATGACGGAGTGTCCAGATATGTTGTAGATGAAAGCAAGGGTATCAATGACAGGCCGGTGATATATGCCGATATGCGTGAGGAAACCGATCTTATTTCAAGCGTTAACCCCTTCAAAACAGGGGGTAGGTGTGCGGAACTTTGCATATGTGACGGAAGAGCAGTCAGTGCCATTGAGATCAGCAGCCGATTCGATATCTAAACCCATCAATTTATGACACTTTGTTTAGTGCACAGAGTAAAGGGAAAACCTACAATGTCGCCGCTGTCTACTAGCCCCGATTTTTCCCTCACCAATTTGTGCAAGTTTGACAGCTGAGTACTCTCTCATTAGATAAAATAAAGGAGGATACACACAACCGCACCAGTGTCTTTTCCAACCTAGGTATCCCAGCCTTCTTCAATTGAGCATCGCTCAAGGAGCAAGAGATGAGCCAGAGTGGATCATTGGCATGCTCCAGCGGAGCCAGCAAGTCGTAAAGTGTGGACGCAAAGTCTGTCTTCGCAGCTAAGTCTGCAAGGTCCCGGCTATCTCTGGAGACTAACGCGGCGAAAAAAACCAAGACGGAATTCAGAACCTTAGGCATTTCGAACAAAATATGAGTATATGAAAGGGTGAATAGATAGTAGCAAACCTTATCTCCGTTGCCTGCTCCCGCTTCGCGGAAAACCTCCCATGCACGCCCTAAGAAGTCGGCAGCCTTAGCTTTGCGAGAAAATTCCAGATCGCAAAGTTTCGTTACTATCTCGAGCGCGCTGCAGGTACAGGCGTCAATCAAGGCTCTTCTTCACTGGTATGTTGGGCGCGCACCTACTTCTGCGAACGCCGAGGGCAGCTTTGGCATCCAAACCCTCGAATAAATAGCCAACCTCATCTAAAAATCTTCTGCTCTCTCCTTTGCTCCGTAGTTCGGTAATGCTCTTCAAGTCATTCATCATGCCAGGCGGCAAAGGAGACGGTCGCACATCTACCTGTTTGCCCTTCCCTTTCCGTTTCCCTCGATCCTCCGGTGAGTCGTGCATAGGTGATACAGGGCGAGGATCATCTTCAGAATTGTCGACGCCCCATCGCATTCGCAGATCCGTGTAAGATTCTTGAATTTCGAAGTCATCTGCTTGGCTACTAACAATTTCTTCGTCTTCAAGTAACGACTGTGACTGCGAATTTGTTCGGGACAATGAATCGATCTGGGTTGTAGGAAGCGCAACTAGGAAGGAACGTGACTGGCCGGCATAGGTGCGAATATTGGTGCATGAAAGAGAGGCACGCGCACTTGCAGTCATGGGAGGGGAGGAGACGTCGTCTAGCGACCCCACCTTCAACGGCGTCATAGGTCGACTCCCAGATCCTGAAGAAGTGAGCGTAGTGTCGAGCATAGGCTCAGACAGTGCTTTGGAGAGTTTGGGGGGTGCGGGTACTCGTCGAGAGCCCTCGGCCAAGCTACTCTGACTGCTTTCACTACTAATACTTAATGATTCTGTTCCTGTCCTCCGAAGCATGCGTTTCGCGATGTTGGAAGGCTTATGCTTTGTTGAAGGCCTGACAGCAGCAGGCTTCTCCGTCCCAAACGAGAACAGGTCGGATAGATCCTTGGCAAATTTCTGTGGCGAGGGTGAAAAGCGTGTCTCAGATGAGACGAGGAGAGTATCGGAGCTAGCGAGACGTCTAGGGACCGATGGGATCTCGCTTAGCGATCCGAGCTGCACATTCGTCTTCTGCCTTGACAACAGCGTCCCATTCGACGAAGCTCTAGAAACTAAAGAGAGTTAGGTGCGAATGAAGTCAAACGTTTGGGAATAGTGAAACATTGGCAAATGTGGTACACAGCGACCACGATACAGTATTAGTATGAGGCACCTCTTTAGCATCCGGCACGAGTTTGAATGGCAATAGCCACACTAGGCCAACCGAGACAGGTCACATAATGCGAGATCCCACCGACATATAACTCGAAAGGCAACAGGTGATAACAATTGTGGACTCAAGGAACTGACCATGGTCGTCTCCTGTTACTCCATCATTATGAGCTATGCTGGGCGAAACGACGTCGACCCGTAATTTTCGTCGCTTGAGTGGCCTGGATAAAGGAACATCTGTTGACTCGGTGTCCGAGAGGTTTTCGGTATCATCAGCATTGGCTTGCCCACGCAGACTAGCTCCTTTGCGTCGGTAGGTCCTCATAGTGGTTCCGAAAAGACAATTTGTGCGAGTTCGAAGGTGTTCATAAGAGGCGCAACGCAAGAGTCAAACGATCAGTATTCAATTCGTGACTAGTGAACCTGGCCAAGACTCGGCACTTAGATGAGGTTTTTCTATTCTTTTAATACGCTACAAGCCATGTATAGTAAGTGTAATTCTCGAAGTAGATATATAAGCTTTAGTTTCTGACAATTGTAGCTCCGAAAGAGTTAGCCACAGACGCGTTGCCTGAGATGCACCACCAGCTCGTCTTTGCTTCGGTCGTAGGAAACTTTGTCTCTGGGTGTTCTCTTTGCGATGGAATGCCTGAAAGCACGCCTTGAAACGTTCAATAAGACGAAACGATCCAAACAGTCCTTGACGAGATCAACAGCCGGTCTTAAATGGCCACACCCCTCGTCTCATAGAGCGACGCCGCAGACTCTTGCCGAGGCAGGTTTTTACTACAACCCAAGTTCTGAAGACAAGGATAATGTCACTTGCTTCATGTGCGGCAAAGAACTCAGCGATTGGGACCCAGATGATAACCCGTTCGACATCCACTGGAAGAAGTGTCGTAACACATGTGCTTGGGCGGTCGCGAGATGCGGGTTGATCTATGATGTTGATGAGGACGGAAAGTCAGTATCTCTGTATAATTTTTACGTGGACCTCACGTACAGTGGCACAGTCATCAATTTACGGACCTGACACGTCTGCCCTCAAGTAAGGCTATGGAGAAGGCTCGGACAGAGACATTTACCACAAATAAGCTATGGCCTCACGATGCGGTGAAAGGGCATGGGGCCAGTTCAAAGAAGGTACGCGAGTTTATAGTCGCAAATGGAGTCTCAACTTATGCATTTATAGATGGCAAAAGCCGGATTTATCTACACTCCACAGTCTCCCGGGGACGATACCGCCACTTGTCTATACTGCAATCTTTCGCTGAGTGGATGGGATTTTGGTGATAATCCGACGTTGGTTTGTTCCTTTTTATATGCGTCATGGCCTGTGATCAGTTGTTGCTGTGTAGTGAAGAGCACCTCCAACGCGAAAAGAAATCGGGTGTGCCTTGTGTCTTCTTCCAACAGACTCCTGGGAGAGTCACAAAAGCGACTACCGCGTCACGGAAGGAGGCAATACCCTTGCATTCAGATGATGAATTAGCTATGGATAAAATCCAGGGTGGTGGTACTACTAGATCCAAGAGTCGGACCATAGGAAGCAAGCTATCTACAACCTCGAAGACTCCAGCATCGAGACAGTCTACACGCGCAACTGGCACCAATAGTAGGACACCCGCAAGCCGGAAAACTGCCGACTCGGAAGTTGAATCCACGGCTGGAGGCAACGAAAGCGAGGTTGGAAAGCGCGTCTCAAAATCCAAGCGCAAACTGCCGGCGAAGACCAAAGAGGCGATACAAGCAATCGTTGAAGAGGATGAAGAACAAGGCGATGATGTTGATATGGAAGTAGAAATGGTGGTGGAGATGGAACAGCCGAAAGAGAAACCAAAAAGAGGTCGACCACCTAAGGCTAAGAAACTCGCAGCCGCACCCTCCGAAGAGTCGGATCTGGATCGTGTTCCTACGAAGAAGGGGCACCATACACGTACAAGGTCCCGCACCCAGGTAGAGTCCGAATCTGATGTACCGCTGGCGCCAAAGCCTCACCAGTCGAAAACGAGATCGACGACGGCATCCAAGAAAGGGCCACCTCCACCTGTGCAGAATCAGGGAAAAGCGACCTCCAGCAAGGCGAGGGTTGTGGATGTATCATCTGATGATGAGATAGACGAAGCGCCTCCTTCGCGCACTGGCCTGGTACCGCCTGTAACACTACAGGGATCAACCAAGATGTCAAATCCTCTTGATGTAGTCCGCATTGCTCCAAAACAGAGAGGAAAGGACGAGCTGCAAGTTGAAGTGGTTGTCCCCAGTCCAAAGGGCAATAACCCTGATGTTGATGTGCCAATAGAAGACCCCGAACCAATCTCAGAGGAGCCTGATATGAATCAGTCCGCTATTTTTGTGGTTGCCCCGGCTCCGTCGACTCCTCGTTCCTCCAATTCCCCCGTCATCGTACATGCTAGCCCAGCTGCGGCTCCGCCAACCTCAGAAACTGAGGCGACCTCTGTCGAGCCGGATGCTCGAGGGTCATCATTAGCGTTCACGCCTATTATGGCGCAATTTCCGGTTCGCAGCCTGAAGTCACTAACTGAAGAAGAGGGCAACATGACCGTGGAGCAGTATATCAGGCGCGAGATGGAAATACAATATCAGCAGATCCAGGAAGATGCGTATAGGCGCATTATGCTGTTCAAGGAGCAAGCAGCAGAGACGAAGAGTCGGATAGAGGCTCTTTAGCATCACGTTATAGTGAGTGAATTCCCAGATCAATCTATCGTAGGCGATTGAATCACTTGGTCAGACTTCTTACATAGGCACCATCATTATTTCGGACTAGTCGCAATGCCAAACGTCCTGGCTACTGCTATCGTCGTATTGCGGCACACATTTACACAAGACTGAATGTTATCCTCTCTGTTCAGCTTCTATTCGATTATCTCTATCGTAAGGCCACGTGTTTGAGACGCTTTATAAGTGATTCTACAGGCAAAATATGCTCATGTTTTTTTCTGATCACTGGCGAGTCCACGATACCCACGTCTGCCCCGTCTGACACCTTGGAAACCTTCACTAGACTTGCAGAATCCTGAGCATGGCTCTCTGGGGTGATGAGCCCGTCGCTATCCTCGCCCGACTCGGATTCAGACTCAGAGTCGAAGGCAGTGGTGCCTGCACCTCCGGCGATTCTAAGGTGGCTCTGAGCGTCTTCCGCGATGAATTCATCTGCTATGTGCTCAGATCCAATTTGAATTTCGTTGTCCTCGCGCAACGCCGTGATGGCAGCGGAGCAGACGGTGTCGGCTCGATCTGCAGCATAGGCGGCCGCGGCGAACCGCAGGAACCGATTTCCCTTCTCGATCTCGTCCTGGGCCATAAAAAAGGTATCGACCTTCAGAATTGCCGTGCGCAGCTCTGGGATGGTGATGCGCAAGCCGGCATCGAGAGTGAAAATCCTTCGCAGGATCGTATTGGCACTTCTGGAGATGGGCAACATCTTGCGTAGAAATCCGGGCCTGACCATAAAGCGCATGAAGCACTTGTCGTCCGTGGCAGCGTTATTCCATGGGTGACGGCCAGCGATCATGTTGACCAGTATGACACCAAGTGCCCAAACGTCCGCGATACGGGGGGAGTATGGACGGTATCTGCACTCCTTCCCTATGCACTCTGTGGGATGTCGTTAGCTTGGAAACACCAGCTATAACTCCATGAATTCTCACCGGGACTAATGTAGTTCGAGCTTCCACACCCGAAGGTCGTGCTCGTGCGGGATTTCGTTGACAATCCGAAATCTCCTAAGACAATCTCTGACGCCTCTTCATTCATGCAGAGGATATTATCAGGCTTGAGATCACGATGGTAGATGCCCTTCTCATGGCATGAATGAACGGCGTCGAGGATTTGCACGAAGACCTTCTTCACCAAGTCATCGTTCTCGGAATACGCGTGGCGGTCGATGATGGCACTGAACAAGTCGCCGCCGGGACAATAGTCCACGACGAGATAGATGAAGTTATCATCTTCAATGACTTGATGTAGGGTGAGAATGTTTGGATGATCCGAAACGAGTGTGTGAGCAGCGATTTCCCGTCGCTGGAGACGCCATTCACGCGAACGCTCACAGGCCTTCGCGAGGATCTTGACGGCATATTCCGTTGGCTTCAACGAGGACGTTGACTCGATGACAATGGCGCGATAGACGACGCCGTAGCCTCCCTCTCCGAGCTTCTCGACCAACTCTAAGCGACCATCGTCAATGATCTGGTTGACCATATCGGGGATCAGCGAGGCGGAGGTGGTTTTAGGAAAAATAGTCATTGTGCCGGCACAATGAAGACGTAGAATGCGAAGAATATGAAGATACAAAGGAAGGATATTCGACTTATTTTGCAAGTCGAGAGTAAGCGCGAAATGGACTTGCTGGCGCCTTCCAGCCAGTATTTATATGTTTCTTCCTATCACTTCGCGGATATGTTTGACCTACGCGGTTCATGGCAGACGGATACGGGACAGACACATCGGCCCACAGGGGCGACCCAGGTCACTGTTTCTCCGGCGGCTCATGTTGCGAAATTGCCTGTTAGTCCAGAATCATATTTATGCTGGCGATCCCCGCTGTTATGTAGTGAGAATCAGATGTATAGGTGCATGTGGCTAAGCATCAACAGTCTGGGTGTAACCAGACGTTATCTAGCCAAGCCCTCTAGAATCGCGCGCAGTATCTGTGACTCGTATTATAGCCCAACGTTGTGCCCGGTATGAACTGTAGATAATCTATATAGCATACGGGGCCGTGATGTTAGTGACATCAATGTGTATAGTGTGAACCTCGTTGAGATAATGGCGACATATATTCCGCCTCTCGTGCACAATCACACTTAAAGTTGCTCTTTCTTTCTTTGCAGGCGTATTACTCCATGTATAGGGAGAATGCCTATCAGCTGAGTCTGCATTATGGATTGTCAGTTGTTTGTGCAGGACTTAAAGTCTTTATTTCCGCAGGAGAATTGTCGACCGTATCTCACATTTTATGCCAAACGTTAATGATCTTGTCGTCCTAGTATTTATTATCAAGAAATGTGAGCGTCGACGATACCGACACGTTTGGACGCGTCGACTCGACGCGGCACTTAGTGACTTACGTAACCGAAGTATGACATGTGATCGTGTCGCGTCGCGGTTTTTTCCCACGGCTCTCAACATTCGCCTTCATCTTGAAGCGACAAGGGCGAGGCGACGACGACTACGGCGAAGACTACGACTACGGCGAAGCCCCCATCGACGAAGATCACAATGACAAGACCCTCCTCGATACCTGTCTCTGCGCCGACCTCCCCAGCCGTGACCCGCTCAAAGACCGACCGCCATCCTCCCGTCACTCCCCAGCGTGCAACACAATCTGTTCAGTATCGTCATGTCAGCTCGCCATACACCCCTGCAACTACCTTATCGACTCCTTATACCCCCTTCAGTCTTCGTTCACTGTCTTCTTCGTCCAATGGGTCGAATTTGGCGACACCTGCATCCGTCGCTGGTCGTAGGCGCCTCAGTCTCTCGCTCTCGCCCGAAGTCAACATGGATTCCACAAGCTTTGCCGATATTGCAGAAAATTGGAGAATGCGCGCAAACGAAAATGGTATAAAGGTCACTTCTGGCGATGACTCCCAATACCTTGGTGAGTATATGCGCATATATGCTACGAGATCCATGGTACCTCTTCCACGATGTTGCGATTGTCTCTTTGTATAGTTGAGTTGGATCAAGTTTTGCGGATGCCTGATCAAGGCTTTGCTGTGCTGAGTATCGATCCATATCGTAGTTAAGTTCACCTTGAAGGTGTTTGATCAGTGGCACAGCTCACGTCACATAAGTTACTTATACACATTTTCCGGCTATGGTCTTTGATTTCTCAGTTTTAGTTTGCGAACTATCCGAATTGGTAGCTAACCAGATTCTATCATAATAGCTGATGAATCCAGTCTTGATATTAGCATTCCCATCATCGACAAGGGTGAGTTTGCTAGATTCAGCTGGAGGAATACTCTACCTTAACTATCAACTAGCACTGCTACCTGCTCCCTTCCTTTCCACTCAGCGCCGCGCCCGTGCGTTTACGCATACTCAAGTTCCGTTTGCTCAAATTCCTGATCCGACCCAGCTCGCGACACCCAATCGTTCCTTCCGTGCTCCTTCAGTCATAAATACCCCTCCTCCTCAACCAGGATTCAGGTTGCGAGGGAGTGTGACAGATCCTGCTCATACCCGTCGCAGACCGGCGTTCGGACAGGTGCGCTAGCTTTATCCTATTATGTGCCGTCCTTAGTTCAAAATTTTAGCAGGTAACTGAATTATTTGATATTTCTGAGGACGAATATGATCCCTACCCGCCTGCGTTCTCCACTCTCCCATCTCAGTCCCTCCCTTTGGCACTCACAGATCCTTTCAATCTTTCGTCTGATCTCTCGATGGCTCAGGAGCCTGACCAGTTTTATGAAACGTCCATGCATGCCGTCGGATCGGCGCAGAAGCTCGAGAAAATTGTCTTTGCTTGTTCCGTTTGCGGGACGAGTGGTGGGGCGCTCGCAATATTGGAGCCCTGTTTACACCCGCTATGTTCTGCATGTCTTACCAGCGCCCTGAACATTGTGGGAGAGAAGGATATGGAGTGTGCGGTATGCAAAGCGAAAGTGGACAATTTCCAGCTGCACAAGACTAATCCCTGGAGCGCCGAAGGTAAAAGGCTTGCGCGGGAGATGTCAGGCGTCCAGGAACGCGCATACAGCGATGCGGAATATGCTGCGCACGACGAAGGCCTTCTTCCGAGTGCTTTCGATGGAGGACCTGGAAAAGATCTGGGAGGGGTTGAGAGTTTCGATGACTTCATGGATCGTGCTCAGGGTGCCTCGACGCCGGTCGCTGGTCGTCGCGCTCAACGCCACAGTGAGTTAGGATCTGCAAGGCGTGTTGTATTGCGCGTAGACAACGTGCCTTGGGTATGCATTTCGTGTTCTCATTGGAATGAATCCATTGATCATGACAATTCCATAATGCCAGGATATTACTCCTCCTGCCATCGCGGCATGGTTAAAACACCCTGTGGAACGCGTTCACGTTCTTCTCGATCGCAAGGGCAAAACTCTGAGCCATGCTTACGTCGAAGTTGCCAATGCAGAAATTGCGAAAGCCGCCCTACGCAGTGCGCAAAATTCTGTACTTGGTCGTGGAAAGCGTGCGCGTGGAGTCACGGTTACAAAGAGCAGCCAGGAAGAGCTTATGAGAGCCGTAAGTAATTTATTAGTGCTTGGCATTCTGCGCGTCTGCCCTCGCCCGTATCTTTGGCTCACCTGAATGATAGCTGTTCCCATCCTGGCAAGGGAACTTTGAAGGTTCACGACCTTCACTTTCCGGATTGGACAACGAGCGTGTTATATCGACCCTCCAGCGTGGATTGCTGTCAGAGGTGGAGCTAAACTCGCTATTACATCTCATTCGATCTCCCGATGTATGTGTCTGCCTGATTTGGTCTGCATCCATTCCTTTATTTGAAGTTGTTGCAGAGTCATTTCCTCAAGGTACCCTCGCTCCCCTTCCACTCTTTGATCAGCATCCTCTCCAAGTTCCCCGCGGACGATGATAGCCGAGTCTTTTGGTCAAGCACTCTGAGAGACCTTTTGTATGGTGAGAATTGAGAGCATCTCTTTCCTAACGTGAGCTTACAACGACTTACCATTCAGATATCACGCATGGTGAGGCCAGCAGGTTTGCGTTGTAATTGCAGTTGTTGATGCAGTTCTTATAGCTGCTCTACAAGTTTTGCTCGCTCGGAACGAGGAAAATACTCTTTCGGACTGGACGTCGTTGACTACCCAAGTAGTTCGGGCTGCGATGGATTGCCAAGGTATGTGAGGTTCGTCGTCGTTTATACATTGTATATCTGAACTTTCTCCAGCCTTCACTGCCGAACAAATGGGCAAGCTTTCTGACATCTTGGAGGCGTCTTTCCCAACGTCCTCTCCTAGCGGGTCCTCTTCTACATCTCTGTCGCCTCCGCCTCTTCAGCCCAAAATGGAGGAAATGCACCAGAGCCACACGAGTGGGCGTCCCAGCCCCAGTGGAGAGGCATTCAACGAACTGGCTCACGAGTTTGGTGTACAACCACAGCTGATTGAGGCATTGGCCCGACGGCTTTCCGGGATGTATTAGGTGGGAAAGCGAATTCACTTACTTTGCATGTGACATAATTTCTAGAGCACAACCCTGGACTGCAGAATCCTGTCACCTTCCTTTTACGCACGTCACGCATGGATCAGCTCCGCTCGCTTCTGTGCATCCTTGGCTCATTGCGTCGCTGTTATGATGATGTCCATTCATGACCCCCTCGCTCTCTTTGTCGCTGTCTACGTTGTTATCGACTATGGCTATGTTCTTCGAAGCTCTGTGTGCCTCGTATGTAATTTCTTTTGTCTGTATGTCTGGGTCACACTGGTACTCTCTGTTGCAATGCATGATCATCTTCCCCACCGATGATGCGCGTCGAGAACCTGGAGCCCGTGTTCGGTTGGCTAGAACTATGACGAGTACCAATGCCGTTATAGTTATTGACCACAGGTATTGTGCAGTCCTCCGGCGGATGTCCGTCTGAAGACATATGAGAGCCAAGACATAACGGGTACTCAGCTGCTGGCCTCGACGCTGGACATGTGGACAGCGGGTTCCAGAGAGAAGCGGTGAGATCATTTCAGCCCCCTCGCCGCTCATTCATCGATGCTGATGCTCTGTTCTTTGCGATGATGCTATCGTGCATCCGAAGGGTTCTTTCCGGCATTGATGTGATGTTCTTGCAACATTTGGCAAGGTCACGTATGAATTTCTCAGAGATACGTGACCCACAAGCATTGTGGCGCATGAATGCCAAGGTATAAAGGCGCCACGTCCTCACATATGAACCAAGACCAAGATGGCCTTGACTTTACTTACCCTCGGCCTTTGGGCGTCGACCGCGCTCTCACAGACGAGCTCAAGTGTATTTGACGTGAGTGCCTTACTATCGATAGCAGCTCTGTGTTTACGCTGTTTATAGTTTCCTGAATATCCTCCGCCTGGTACCCCGGACCCGAACTCTACCCTGGGACAGTCTGTTTCGGCCCTCCCTTATGGCATTGGGAACGACTCCCAGCTCTCCCAAGCTCGCATTCATTATGATACTGGTACATTTGGCCCTCAAATTGAGCTCGTCCACGCGTATTACAACTATTGGCCTACGGTATGTTTTTCCTCTTCTCTCAAAGAAATATCCGATAATCACGCATGCAACAGGGTGTTGGGGTAGCTAGTGACGGAACAATCTTCACTTGCTTCCCCCGTGGGAATGAAACCTTCACCTTGGCAGTGTTCAATAGCTCAACATCAGAGGCTGCTTGGCCGAAGTACGTTAGGTATTAGCTCCGTTCCGTTCATATCCTGACATGTGTTCAGTGAGGAGTGGAACACTCCCCCTGCCTTCGCCAACGTCAGCAACCCCGGATATAGTATCGCAACTGACAAGCTTATCTTTGTCCAATCTGTCGTCGTCGATGGAATTGATCGCGTGTGGGCACTCGACACAGGCCGTCCCCGAGTCAACGGAACATACCTTTTGGCCGCAGTCCCAGGAGGCCCCAAGCTCGTCGGTTTTTATCTGAATGGAACGAGCTTCGTCACATATACCTTCCCGGACTACGTCGTATATGCTGACTCCTCCATCAACGATGTGCGCTTTGACCTGCGGGGTGGAGGGTACGCGTACATCACAGACAGTTCTCCATATCATCCAGCCCTCGTTGTTGTTGATCTAGCTACTGGGGAGTCATGGAGACACCTGGACGGTCACGTCGCTGTTACGCCTGACCCGAACTTTGTGCCCGTCTATGATGGGGGTGAGCAACGCTCACAGAATTAAGAGATATCAAAATCTAACGCTTGGCATAGTTCCGTTCTACTACCATCCCATTATCCCTCCAAACGCTATTCAATTTATGTCTGCGGTAATGTTCTCTTCTTGTCGCAGAACGCTGGAATGAGGAATAAACTGACTGTTGAATAGTTCGCAGCAGACGGTATTGCGCTCTCTGCAGGTAAATTTTTTGTTCCGAAACTTAAACTTAGCATGAGGCGAACTTACACGCGTGCGGTGCAGACGGCGAATATATCTATGTGACACCTCTCACCAGCCGCCACTTGTATCGCGTCCCGACATCGTACCTCAAACAACAACCCTCCTCGGTCAACCCGTACGCAGCTCTGCTCGCACATGAAGCCGTGCAGACCCTAGGCGAATTCGGTGGACATGCAGACGGCCTCGAAACAGATAGCACCGGTTACATTTATGTGGGCTCACAAGGTAACTGATAATATTGCGTTATGCCAACAAAACTAACAGAATCTGACGAACCTGCTCCAGAGCACAATGCTATACATCGATACAATGCCACGACGGGAATAGTTGAGCCCTTCATCCGCTCCCCATTCATCCAGGTATGTGTAAGTAATTATTCACAGTTGGACTAGCTGACCCCACATGAAGTGGGCCGATACGTTATCTGTAGTCACGCTGCAAAATGGTGGAGGAACCTACTTGTACTTTACATCTAACCAGTGGGTATCTGATTCAAACCTATTTTTGCATACTCAGCTTTTCTTCTCTAGGTTATGGCTCGCACCTGACTATCAGAATGGGTGAGTGATGTCTGTCTCTGAGTAGTATTTGTTGAACTGACCACCCATCCAGCACGGATTTGCGCACCAAGCCTTACGCGATGTTCCGAGTGCCGACTGTGGGTGGGCGTGCCACACAGACAGATTAGGTTGATGGGGAAGGATATTGAGCTAGCTCACAGAGCTTTTGGCGAATACTGAATTCGGGACCCGGTTAAAGCCAAATTTTGTAAATGTAGTATCCGATTCCTAGGCTTTAGTCGAATTTGCAGGAAATGCCGTCCGCAATCAAGTCACCGTACTTTTGTGTAGCTCGATGGATCTATCGACCATATCGTGCCAGTCATTAATTGCCGATGAGAGTGGACATGGTCGATGACCCGATCACATGCGTCGCGAGATATTCCGGTTCAGTGATGTATGTCACGGTCAATTTACCAGATTGTGTATCTTGTGTGATGTTTCGTGCCCAGTGCAACTACACCACGAGACCAGTGTCACGGTGTACGAAAGGAGGTCAAAAATAGTAGTACGAAAGTTACAGCAGTTGTGATAGTTATTGTTACAAACACAGACAATGAGTGCTACAATTATATACAGCAATGATACACGGCGTAGCCCCCGACCACTCAATGCAATTCAGGATGCTCACTGCTCACGCTCTAGCTCCTCTTTGCTCTCTTCACTACCGTTGCGTCGTTTCCTAACGAGCACATACGAGTCGGCATCAGCTGGCGCGGCGACCGCCTCGATTTCGCCACCCACGAGACCAAGAATCTCGGGCGCTTTCTTCTTCCGCTCAGCGCGAATCTAGGTCGAACGATAAGTATCCTTATATGAATTGTATTCATAGGCAGCAACAGGGACCCACCATGTTCAGGTCATGACTGACGAGGCCATGTCCGCCAATTGGACCCCAATAGCTCGTTGCAGCAAGGGATCCTATAATGCAGGCGCCAGCGAGAAGAGACAAGTAAAAGCGGTACTGTGAGTACCACCGCGGTGCTGAGAAGTGCGACATGCTATTCAGCTTCGGCACACATTGGAATCAGTGGAACCACCTACCCCATCCTGCATTAGTTGCCCTGAGGTCGGCCCACCACAGACAAGTGAAGCCAACCCACTGCGCGATGAGCGCCTCCATGGGTTGCAGTGCGAGAGTGGACCAGCCAAACACCACTGGTGCAGCACCTAGGAAGAGCCGGATGTAGCTGCAAAGTGCAAGGGTGGTTAATGCTGTGTGCGGTGGATTGCTATGACAAGGGGGCAGAAGACGAACCCCTTATGTCCACCGTAGCCGGCAAACTCGAAACCCCAGTGCAGCGCACCGAGGAACGAGAGCATTACGGCTCCGTACGTCATTTGAATGTTCAGCGCGTGGTCCAGCATTGTGATCGCAACGCCAGGATCGATGCGCGAGGTCAAATCTAATGCAACGACGTCAACGTGTGGGTTGAGTGGGTCAGAGGATGCGATGCCACCGACCCATGGTAGCCATGCCCGCTTGCTGCGCCATGTAGATCGTTGCTGCTGCAGTCCCGAGGTACGGAAGACCTCCGGCAAGGCCGAACGCAATGTATTGCGGGGGAACCGAATGAGCAACAGCATTTGTAATTCCGAGCTGGGATTAGCACGTCAGATGAAGTATCGAGGGGCAGCATTCGTGGGCGTCTATGTCTTGCGAAGGCACGACACACATGACACAAGCCGAGTTCTATCATCGGCTTCAAGGGGTTACTTACGAAAGTATCCCTCTTCGGGTTTGGCTCAACAGCATCATGGAACCAGTTGGCACCCGCGATGATTTTAGCGAGGTCACTTGTCGAGTTTCCAACCTCTTCCTTTATGTTTCGTGCGGCCTGTTTGAAAGTCTGCGAGCCCGGTCGACCAGAGACTGAGCTTGCAGCCCCTCTGATTATCAAAGGTTGTCGAAAGAGTGACGATGGTGGATGTAAAAGCGGCTGAACAGGTCGTGTGATCACACGAGACGACGATAGTGAGAACGAGCGATGAAAGACAACAGGTGCGCGCCGAAGAGAAAGAGCTGTCCGAAACATCATATCGCCTCTGGTGTCGACGACCTATCCAGTGCGTTGTGGTGGGGAACAATACCAAGTGGGAGTCCACCTGTTCATCCCTGCGTATAAAGGACACCTGTAACCCTGATCGATGATTCCCGGCTCGGGGGCCTTGCGTGAGTCTCATGGCTGAAGAATGGTATAGGGTATAGTAAGCTGCGTGGTGAGAAGGCAGGGTAATCAAATGCAATTATTCAGACAGTTCCCAGATGTAGGCGGCCGGCCAGCGAATTTCCGTCAGGAGGATATCCATCAAGCGTCTCTGCCCACGTGAATTCATTCAGCGCGGACGCGAGTGTGAAAAACCTAATCCCGCGGAATCTATACTGCGGTCTAGATTGCGAAGTGTGGGGTATCTTCACGACTTCGCGATGAGATTGGTAAGTGAAGTCCCTAAAACTGGTAAACTATCACATCAGTGGCACGCGAGACGACAGCGAGCAGTGAGGGACTGACGCCGTGGCGTGAATGTTAGCAAAGAACGCTGCGCTGAACGGATCTAAATAGAAACAGTGGACGAGGATATCTCCAACTTGAACGTCAAGCACGCGTCCTGCTTCCCCAACTTTGAATAAGCGTTTCTGGCGTTATCACAAGCCTCACATAGCATCTGCAACCACGACAACATCCGTTCGCGGCGAGGCACATATGGCTAACAGGCGCATGACGCGTGCTGGTGTTGTGATTGAGCAAAATCCAGCATGTTCGCCTGCTATGTTTTTGCCATTGATTTCCAGCCCACAATTTCGACGTTCAGGATTTCCAGGATCAGGTTGAGCCTCTCGTTTCTTGGGCCTCCAGTTGTCGATACTCCACTTAGAAAAATAATACAAGCATTAAAGTTACATGGACATATACTGATGATGAAGGTGAGTAAGTATGACATACCAAGTGAGAGGTATACTGTTGCATCGAGCTGGGTTACGCGGATAAGTGAACTTTACAGACCAGAACGAAGACAATCAGGGACGAAATCTATATGATATGCCTCTATGTCTTGAATGATATCTGTCAAGTGGCCAATTCTCATTAGATGTATCCCACGCTTCATAGATATGCGTAACTACCGGTACCGTCATTTCCAATTCACCTGACCATATCTGGGGAATGTTCGAAGGCCATTTTTTCCCGATGTCGATGGAGGGCATCCTTCTGACAAAGGCCCGTCCACAGTTTCCACACTACCTCCACCATTCGAAGGTGCACGCCGCGAAGATATTTGACATTCCTCTTCTTCACTGAAGTTCGATCTGCATATTCCCCGCGCATACCATGTACTGTTTCACGTCGTTCCTTCAGCTGACCTCGTTACTGGTGTAATGATCGGGCATGATATCCTCAGAAATGGTGGCGAACACCGCTCGGCGAGTACGTCCGCGACCATCTTTCCCGCAGCTTTCTCTCGGCCTTGAGCTCTCGTTCATTTTCGTGCTCTTTTTGGCGCACTTCTCCGCATTGCCTCTTGTCATAGCTCGCTCCATGTGTGGCAGACAATTACCACAGGCTAGCTGTGGAGTCTCTGAAGATGTCAAACATTGAGTGTGCAACCGGGCTCTTAGGTACATCTGGTGAATTCATACGTACCTGCAGATCTCCAATGCACTCAATCCGTGGCATACGAAAGCCTGTCATCGCCAGCCAGTAGATGATTTCCATATTTACGGGTAGATGAGACGGTACTCTGATCAGCTAAATGAATATGGTCGTGGTTGAATTCCTTGCTACCAGTCTGTTTACGAGGTCCTCATTGGCGCCGAGGTTCCACGTTGCGCAATGCGGCCTCGGTGTATCTTTAGTGTATCTCTCCCTCGACAGTCTTTCGATTCAAACCTGAAGCTTGAAGAGACGTTGGATTGCCCTGGATTGATTTTTAAACGCTGCTTTTATCAATGCGGAAATCTTCGTGTTTTGCCATCAAGTTCATACTCCGCGTTCTGGCGCTTGTCGTGTGACTGAGGCTCTCTCTGGCCCACTCCCTTGACCATTAGTAAAACTCGTTACAGTGTCTCGTCTCAAAGACTCAGTACTCAAACTTTGTACTCATATTTTTTCTTCTTGGCCCGGTTTAGCTCAGTTATATCTGAATTCGCGAAGATTTGAGCATGCTCTTGTCGTCGACCTCCAACATATATACTCAGTGCTTGCCGCGCGCAAACTCGCTTCACATCCGCCTCATCGCGAACCCATCCGTCATTTGAATCTGATTGCGGTCTCTCATTGGCTCTCTATGCCGCCTTCTATGTTTCTTGCTTATTGGTGTGCCCGTACTTGCGTACATCGCTTGTGGACTTTCTCGATCATTTCTGTCACCATCGAACAACTTTCTTGGACCGCTCATCTCTCGCTGATATTTGAGAATATGAAAGAGCTTGCCAGTCATCCATTGAAACGGTTCTGAGAAGTGGTCCGGGATGTAGGACGAGGCACATAGTCATCATGGTTGGCTAGGGGTCTGTATTCAATGCGTCTTTTAACACAAGCTTGCGATAGACAGAGATTGCACAATATCGACATACGCATTGTCTCTCGCTTCCCTCGCTAACTTTATGATTTCTCAAAGCATTCTACGGCTAGCATCATGCTCTCAGGTTATCGATGCAAATATACATTGAAACGACCTTTTGCTTCCAGTAATTGATTTCTTTCGAGGACTGATAGTTGTGGAATGTAAGCTGGAAAATTACGTCAGCTACTGGTTTAGATGAACAGCATCGTCAATAGGTAAGATACTAGAAGGTGTGTAAGACACGTCGCTGACGGCAATGGATTAGCTCTTCTTCTCTAGAGGCAAATTATGGCGAGCAATGCACGCGTGCATAACTAAGATGACCTAAACGAATTATTGGCGCAGAATCTCGCATTTTGTCCAACTCATCTGAAAATTGACGGAAGTTTTCGTGGAAGAGGTCTATCAAGTAAGCACGGCGGTTGACTTAGCGTTGAGTAGTTGATATTATAGAACACCAACTCTTAGCTCTGAGACAGCTGGATTAGAATATTCGTTGGGAAGAGAAAATTTGCCGCCTGAATCTCGATGGGCTGAACAAGATGATATACTAGATGTGGTTGGCTTAGCAGGTATGTTTTCGAAAGCAGAAAAACGCGAGCCCTGCTGAGATAACCTAATTATGAGTTGACTCTCAGCTCACACGGCCGTCCCAATGAAATCGACAGGGTCATCGAGGATGTTTCAATCACTGATTAATCGAAAGTTAATGCCCTATGAATTATCCAGACAATGAACCTATTGTCTCGCTTCCTCATACGTCCCCTTTCGGGCTGCAGCAGCCATCTATACTACTGCAGCTTGATGTTTTCTCCAAAAGACGGGACATTATGTTCCCTTCAGAGACACCATTCGTCGATGCTCACGGAGAGATGCAGGATATTCTCCAGTCCGTCCCGAGTTGCCCTTTGATGAGCGTCGATTGATGGTGCTGAATCGCAGGATGAAGCGATTGCATTGTTTGCTCTTGCTATCAACTGTTCGGAAGACATGAGGAGAAGATGCACACGAGTTTGAGTGGGTCTCGGTATATACTACTCGCTTCGCTTGCTGACTGTCCCTCTGATCCGTCCGAGCGCTGGATTTCAAGAATTCTGGGGAGCACACAGCATATCCCCGCTGCTTGAGGAAATATATATTATCTTTCTTGAATGACCGCGGTCGCGTATTGGCTACCACTTTGCTGTAATACAGTGAGTCGCAAATGTTGCTCATATCCTCAGAATGAAAGCTCTCCTCTGTTACCTTGTACGCACATCCAATTCGAACCTGTCATACTGTGTGATGCGATCACAAAGATGGCAATTGTACAGCGCGCATGCCTGGAAACCGAGATGGAGAAGAGATTCTCTGTGGTCTCTGATTATTCATAAATAAGGAGATATCTAGTTGCCCCATTCGTATGCTACAATATATTGGTATTGGCATCGTGAAGTTGCCCTACTAGCTATTAGGCAAGGCTATGAATTGTCGAAGTAAATGGACTGTGAAGTCAGTAATACAAATGGACACTATTAGCTACTTATTATACTCGTTCCTTATCTTATTTACCGTCCTTCTAAATTAGGTAACTCGCGGTACGATACGTTTTACATCGTCGCCCGCGCACCTCAGTCCTCCGTCTACACGACATCGGATTGAGAGTGCGTATGTCCTTCATTCTATGCGATCTATTACTTATAGCTCTCTAGTTATATATTACAGGTACATACATCGAGCACCCCAAAAAGCGCACATGCACCGCCCATCTTTCAGCCTGATAGTCAACCAATCCACGTGTACTTATTTCCTACATGGCTCTATCACGTCGGAAAACAAATAGGATTATAGAAGGCAGAAAGGTACATAATAAGCTGCATGGGCATACAGATTTTTCTTTACATCCATAATGGGCTCTATAAAAACTATACAGTGCAGTTAACAATAGATATGTGGGCCCGTGGCCTAATAGTTCACCTCCAGGGCTGCAGACAGTGACCCTTGCACTGCTCACCAAGAACCAGGCAAATAGATATACCATCTAGGCAAAGGCCGAAGGCTGCAGATAATAAGATAAGCGCATACTCATAGACAGAGATCAAAACTCTCAGCGGAGAGCGACAAAATAGGTGAATCAATAATGAATGCCAGCATAGAATGTGAGACATCGACGAATATGTTCAGGGGCTATAAAACCCACACTAAAGAACTTCACTCCCCAAATCACCTTAGCAATATAGACGAATGGAACAACCCACAAACTCACCGACTAGCGAGATTGTAGGGACATGCGTTATACGGCAGTGTCTAAATACTGAGTCCCCACGGGAGAACATCCTCTCACAAACAGGGCACAGTTTGTACGTGGACCTAAAGTGCCGCGTCGCAATATGCTTCGCGAGGCCGCGAATCAAGATGGCTTTATGCGTCGTGCAGCCGATCCATTGGCAGGAGATGCGCTCCGATCGACCCTGCGCTGATCGGAGGTCGTCAAGATGATATATGTGCATATGTTCTTGAATGGCTGCAACATTCAAAGACGACAGAGGTCTATTGCAGCGCGCCCATAAGCACAGTGATTCCGAGGGCGCAGTCGTGTCGCGCCCAGCTTCGGCGAAGACTTGATCGTGGGAGACCTCGCTGAACAAATCATCAGCTTCGCCAAGCTGAATATGAGCGTCTTCCTTCAAGGACTGTAGTATGTCTTCAAAATGGGCGATCTCGTCTTCTTGGAACGAATCGAGGGGTCCAATACCTTGAACAGATGTGCCCGGCTCCGCGCCCATCTGAACTGTGGAAGGGATTGCAGGAAAAACGTTGTTCGTTGACAAGCCAAAGGATCTCGTGTCGGAAGTTGAGCGCGCATGCAGCATGATAGCTTGGCTGCATAGCCTGTAAATAGACTTCCACGACTCCAGTGGCATAATTTGTTGTGGGAAGCCGGTCGAGAGGAAGGAGAAGAGATGCTGCCGGACGTCGGAAGAGAGTGTTGGTATAACGTCGTTCGACTGGATTTTTGGGGCTCTGGAAGAGAGCAGGTCCGTAAAAGACTCCGCCGAAGGAGAATAATGGGTGACTGTGTGATGGCTGAGATTGGCGTTCAGCAGAAATGTTGCACTCCCGTCAAGATGTGCGTAAGCAGTCTCGCAATTGCCACTATCGATTAGGCCAACAGGAGGAAGAGCACCCGGGGCGGATGAGCAGACGTGTGTATACCACGAAATTGCGTGGGCGCAGATGCTCCGCATGGAGATCCAAGAATTAAGGGGGATGCTAGTCCATGGGACCCGTGCCGCGCAAAACATGAGGAAATGCTCACGTACATCGACAGGCACCGTCTTCAGAATAGAACAGGCAGAAGGCGCCTTCCGACCACCGATGGCGATAAGGACTGGGCATATCATATCGCACTCAGCTCGAATGGCGGCGCGCAGATCTGCACAGACAGCGAAGTGATTGTGCACGTGAGGATACTCGTCATCGTCCTCAGCTGCCGATTCATTCGAAAATAAGTCGAAGTCCATTCTGAAGCGAATGCAACAAGATATGTGTCAGTTCGATCAATCCTCTAGATGATCTAGCGAAAGCGCACCTGATGCTATGTCAGTAGTTATGGAGGCGAGCTTCGCCGTCTACTTGACGGAACGTGCTGGATGAGGCAAAGGCTCAGGGGATGGGCTTGTAGGGGGATCGATTTTATATTCGCTAGCATACGCTGACGCGTCGCGTACTCCAGGGGTCCTCCGTGGTACAAGAGACACTTACCTGATGGCTAGAAATCACAAGACTACGAACCGATGAAGCAAATTCAAGACCTGTGACCTTGATGTCGTCCGAGAACACATCGGACCGAGGTCCGTGACGTCGGGGGTCTATATTGAATAATCTGAGATTGACCCCGAAGAGGCAGAAGGCGATCTAATCTCTCGATCTTGAGAAAGAACGACTTCGATGCGGGACACATTTTCGCTTACTTTTGCCAGCTAAATTTGTGGCGCTACTCGCTCTGTATTTTTCCAGCGACGAGGTCAGTCTGTTGAGCCCGAAATCATAGAATTATTGGACAGGATAATGAGTGATGCGACTATGACTCGCACGTTAGAGGTTGGCGCACCCGAGAGTAACAATAAAACATACTAATGTGGTCGAGTACTGGCTGCGATCAGCGGGTGACATGCGACATCTCGTGGTTAGGCACTCGAAAATGACAGGAGAACATACCAGTGTAGTCGAATACTTGCTGCAATTGGCAAGCGACATACGAGATTCGATGGTCAAGACAAACAAATTTGAGATCCATCTGTACAAATCAATGTTGTTCCTCATCGACGAAGCTATTCTAATCTGGATATCCACCTGACCTCCGGAGGCGCAAAGTTGCATCGTACATATGGCGGATATGCGGGAGATGTGCACGACTGCACAAATAACACGGGGAGATACCAGACTCGATTCAAGACAATAATATACCACTGCTTGCCACATTGCGCAACGACCAGTTCTCCGGGGAACGGTTCCGTCGCTCAACCAAGAACAATGAAAATGGAGTCAGTCAAATATTGTCCGGTGCAAACACCATAAATCAACAACTGCAATTAATACATAAGACGTTGGTCGTGGAACAAATAGAATAAATGAAGGCGCTAGCATCTAAGATACAGCTTGGAGCGAAGGAAATCCAATGGAGGATAGCGTCGTTTTAGCGTCGTCTTAGAGCCTGGAAATCAATTATTACCAGCCCGCCGGGAATGGTTAGGATCTACGTGTACGTCCATTACGTGTCGATTCAAGTTCGGAACTGGCTTGTGTTGACACGGTCTCCAAGTACATGTTCTGTCGTCGCTGTGGTGGGTGATGATGTGATTTTGGATTGTCTGTAAATCCTTGCCGACAACTGTACTCCCGCAGAGGCTGGTTTCCTTCCAGAGTTCACATATCCATGTGGAATCGGCCATAGTGTGGTGAAGCTGACTGTATACTAGCGTGAGCATATACGGCTCGCCCGCATGCTAAATTAGAAGACAAACCTTATGTTCTAGAATTCACAGAACGTACCGAGTGATAGAGGAAACGCGTGGGAGATAAAACAGCGACTTTAACCTGTAGACGTAATTAATCACCTTAGATGAAACGATTGGTGAGTATGTACCTGAGCGGGTTAAATCAGTTGGTTGTGCGAAGTTCAGAGGGACAGCCATCGAGAGGATCTTATATGGTTGCTTGCTCCGGGTGAGTCCACGGGAGCGTAGAAAGAGCGTGGTCTGCAACCTCTAGCTAGTCTAGCGCTGTGCGCGGCCTCCATGTCGATATCAGAGACAGAATCACCTATGAGCCATCGTATCAGGGGATATTCAACACACCTACTGACCACTTCAGTCATAACTCCCGAAGATGATCGAAAATAATGGTAGTAAGGCAACAGACAGAAAGCAAGAGGCGTTCCCGAAGAGAACCAAAACTTGAGGAGCACGGGGCGCTGGAGTTCAGGATATTGGTAGAGTGAGTCTAAAAGCCCACATATCAACGCATGGTGTTCTGAAAACCGACATCACATCACATATGATTCAAGCTAGGCCACCTGCGGGAGTCACGAAAATACGTGAAGACAGGATAATTACGGCGCAAGTCGACGGATTTTTCAAATCATGCAGACGGATGAGTCTCGGAGCTCGCGTTTACCGATATTTCCTAGCGTTGGTTTGTAGTGCACTGAATTGCGGATATTTCTGGCATTCTGCGCGATCCTGGCGCGATCTCTGGCATGCCTGATGAGCCATATCCGTAGTCCGGATAGGATTAGATATCACTGGAAGCGCAGCACCCAGACATAGTACCGGAGCCTCAATTGCCGCTCAGGGGGCTACAGTAGAAGGATATCGTTTTGGCGCCAGGCGTTTAAATGCTAATAGATACAGTAAGTACGTAAGCGTGAAATTACGCGCATATATACCTATCGCTTATCAATCTCACGTGGGGCGCCGCACTTATCGTGCCTGGGTACATCTTATTTCGAGGGCTTTTAAAAAATCGCGTCTAAGCATTCTCGACTCCTACCGTTTGAGTACCGAAAGTTGAAACATCCGTGGACCATTCAATGCGATTCGAGGTGGTATGAGCATATATGTAGCGTGTTCTTGAAAGTTCATGATAGATTATTAGCAACGCGGCCGCTGTACAACTGATGCTAATAATGCGATTGCAAGCATTATATAGCTACCTCATAGTATTGTAGATTTCTTGATGGCCCTATCTCGCGCCTGAACACAGTTCAGGCATAGTCTGTCAAACTCGCTTAGTCGAAATTCATTGAATAAATGACCTCATGACCTATACGTATTTTGTTTTGGATATCTGCGCACGCTGAGGTTAAGTTCGTAGGTACATTCTCATGAAAGTGCCAGCAGTTGCACAGTGCCACAAGTGGATAAGGTTGAATATCTCATGCAACGGGACGCTGAGGGTAAGTATCACATCAATAACGGTCTACTAATAGAATAATAGAAGAATCTGATTGTAGCTACTGTTGTGAAATTCCTGATCGTCGACGCCAGCTTGAGTCAATGAAATCTGAGATGCATTCTCACGATGACAGTGGTGACTTCATCTTCTCTAAAGATAGTGATTTTTCATAAAACCAGTAAATATAATAAAGGCGTGTGTTCACCGATGAATATTCATCGTTGTCGCCTCAAGTTTCAAATATCCCCTTCGGACCCGTCTTCTGGATTCCCGGATTGATATCCGAGCGTTTGGGAACCTGCGAGTGGTACAACAGCAATACATCTTAAGCTCATCAACATTGTCAATCTAGATTACCTACAGATCTTGCGACGGCAAGACGGATCTTAAAGACTGATCGTCTCAGCGGTCAGATGTGAATTAATACATCGCACGAGAGAGGTAGCGAGCCCAGCAAGAATATATACATCGGATGGATAGCTTATGAAATAACCTGGATGCTTATGCTACAGCAAAGAGACGAGTGTATAGCAGTACAACACAAAGCGAAATATACAGAATCTAGCCCACGACGAATTACCCTCTACGGACCAACGACTTCAAGTGCGCTGTCATGATGTGTTGTGTGAGTTTAGTGGAATTGACTTGAGCATTGCAGTAACCCCAGGTGCACGTCACGTCTCGGTGCCTATCGTTCGGGACAGAATGCACGGACTCCAAATGTCGTTGGATGCTACTTGAGTCTTTGTGATCGATAGAGACACCACATGTGGGGTTAAATTCACACCTGGCGGCCATTAGGATGATGTGAAGAAGAGTTGTTCCTGGATATATCACGAATAAGAATGGTGCATCTCATGCATGTATGTCACGCACCTTGGTCTAGAGTGGACACAGGGCGTCGTGAGACAAGCTGAATACGATTGAATCGCGATTTCTCTGCATGTTGTAATTGTAACGGATAATAGTACGGTATGAAGATTATAAGGACGTACCGTTATACAAGTGGAGGGAACCTGATGTTTCTCTGTATGTTTACATTGTAAGGGAGAATAGTATGTTGTAACGATTATAAGGACGCACCGTTATACAAGTGGAGGGAACCTGATGGATGAAGAGACGGCAAGTCAATGGTTTTATAAACCAATAAGTGGTGAGGGGGGCGCATACGACGCACTTACAACCCACTCTGCATTCTGCGGCCACCGGTGCGCTGCATGAGGGTCCGCAAAGGACAAGGTATACATCCACCCTAGTGTCCTGCGGCAAGGTCTGGACCACACTGACCTTGTTAGAGCCAGAATCACCGGGTGGCCCAGGTAGCGAACTATCAAGAGTGTGATTTGGGGACATCGCCCGTTCCTCTAATGGGGCTTCGTACTAAGCACGCGACCCACTTAGTACACTGCACCGTTATACGATTGCGTTGAGTCTCTGTATAAGACCCGGCGATTCATAACATTGTAGGCATTGAAGAAAAACGGATACCAATATAACATGCCTACTGGATATGCCCGCTGCCAGCAACCGGGAGCGAATGCGATATCGCACCTCATCCGGGATCGGATGTTGGCACAGATAGTGGTAGGGTTACGCACAGGATTAAGTCATATTCCTATACACGCACCGCCTTGCATATGGTTCGAGTACACATAGGCACCGAGTACGAAACAGCATCTGGTTGGCAGTGGTTCGCTTGCTACCAGTATCGGTGCTGGCTCGCCGTGAGTGGATATCGGGGACACATCGCCGAGCTTGAAGAGGAAACTAGAAGAGAATAGGTATACCTCTCAGTGCAAGTTTTGAGCTGGACAGAGCGATGCATAGCGGTCATCGTCGCGAGGCTCCAACGTGGCTCACAGTTACTTCGGGACAGCGGCTGCCACTGAGCGAGTCTGCGCCTGTCTAGATAGGCACGTGGTAGCTAAGTCTATGGAATTATCACGACATTTAGGATATAATCTGAGATAGCTTTAGAAGGATTTGTATATTACTTAAAATACGTATTATATACAATTCTGACATATTGAACACGTGAATGACATACCAAGTTCAGGTACTACATGGTATGATCACATAACGAAGGAACCATCCCTTCCTCAGTGAGTAGGAAATGTAACCTTCACATGGCTGGAGAATGTTTACTTTACAACTCAGAGGAGAGCTTGATAAATACATCTTTTGCAGCTTTCGATTACGCACATAATCTTATCTTGATTGGAATGTTACCGGCAAAGCATATTATGAGCACGCTCTAGTCCAAAATTTTGGCTCGCCTCAATTTCTGACACTTCTTGATACGCCTTTCGGGTCTCTTCAGAATCACATAAATAAGGGTCGAACTCCGTATTTGCAAAACGTATAGCGCAGGAAAGTAATCCAATGACTGCTATGCTATCATACATCGCGACAGTACGGATACTGGTAATAATATAAGTACAGAACAGGAATACGTACTCGTCCTGAACATGGCGACTTCAATCATTCGCCTATCGTAGCCGGATATGCAAATGGGCTGTCGCAACATGACGCGGGATATCGTCGGACCTAAGTTTGACATGGCAGCTAGTACCCCATGTACAACTGACTTCTTGGGCTCCGCGTCCGACTCCATGCGCGCTCCGGAGGTGGTCCTGAATGCTGGAGACGCTCTTAGTGATTTGTTCACTGCATTTCTCCTGGTCGAACTCGCACTTCACAGTTTCAGACATATGGTGTAAGGCTCTAGTTTGAATATGATATTCAGCACGAAAGAAGAGTTAGTGAGAACATACATGTCGTGACTTGGTAATTGCAGAACGCCCGATTGCCTATGAATTCAAGCGATGATCTGAGATTGTGTTCAAGGACGTTCTGTGAATTGTAAGTAGCAAATTTAGAGAAGTGAACGAGGAGCGTACGAAATATTTGAGGAGTGCGAGCTGGATAGAATAAAGAGCTCGACGGACTGCATTAAATACATGACGGTGGATATCTGGAGGACACTCGTCCAGAGTAACATTTGATGTGCTCACTATAAGCCATCAGCGTGCGGGATAAGCCAAGTGTCCCAAGAAGACGGCTCCTGACCACGCCTCATCATCCTCCAGCCAGAGCTCCAGCGCGCAGAGATCATTTAGTCGTGGACAAACCAGTTGATGGTCGCTACACTGGACAGGGTGGAAGCAAGACGCGCGGCCAATGGCCGTAAGAGAAATCAGAATCCTAAGCCCTCAACGCTCTGTGTACATATCCCAATCGTCTCGCGCATCGAGAACCACGAAGTGTACGGACCTATAAAGCTCTCAGAAGCGTCAACACAATGTATAAATTGTGAAATCTAGCAGAATATCGCAACACGCACATTTCAGCGCCACTGATAGTGAGATAGGACCGGGTGTGGACAGAATGACATCAACCCGTACTACGACGGTCACATCCATCGAACAAATATAGTGCGTTACCTGGTCGAGAACATTGTCAAAAGGAGACAGCATCTGGTGTGGCAGCGGTTGCGCTGTGGCCCGCACCGTCCAATCGAATGCACGGAGACCAATGGAAAACCTATGATACCCATCGCATCGGATCAAGTTGGTTGCATATTTGTCCTTATGGATGTGGTTGCTACGCTGGCGGTGCTTGGGGCCGAAGCGCTGACCGAGTCGGACCCAAAAATTGGAAATCAGCGCCACAAAGCCTCTGAGGAGACGTACGTCGCACAACGCTTTCATCTTGAGTAGCACTAGCACAAAATACTATTGACCCATTCCTCTCGATATAACTCCGATCAATCTTGGGAGTCTATCAAGAAGGGCATTCATGCTTAAGGGGTATGCCCGGAGCAGCGCAACTTGGGAGGTAGAAATGGTATGTTTGCGTGCTTCTCTAACCTTCCGTCTCCTATCGGAGATATTCGTAGTGAAGTGGTAGTGACAGTCCAAGATGACGTCGCGGTCCTGCACGCATTCCTCCTTGGCAATAATAGTGTTTGAAACATGTCCACCAATTTTGTTCGTTCTGGAAAACCGTGTAGGCAGGAATCACTACCTGTGAGTCTACCTTCAACATCATGACAATTCCAGCGATAATATCGGAGAACGACAAATGTTTACCACAAATCAAAAGAGATGAAGCGGACGTGCGGTTCACGACCATCTCGCTGAAAAGTTCTCTTCATTTGACATCTTGAGACGTTAACATGATTAGTTTTCACCTCACCTCTGACTTTAAGATACTGAAGTTAGACTATCAGGGAGAAATAGACGTGAGCGCCCATTCAATGGAACCCTCATCAATTAAGCTCATTACGCAACCAAAACTCTTGCAACACTGTGGCGGCTTCTCGCTCAGTCACAAACCGAGAATTGGCAAGGTTGTATGTACTTAAATTGAAACGTAGATCTATGGTGATTCAAGCGACGCAACTTCATGTGAGTATCGAGTTTCCGCGAGATATGTTCCGCTCCGTTACTATCTTCTAGAACCAATGTGATGTCATTTGCCGATCGGAAAGTCGCACTGCCATCGTCCAGCCAGAGTCGTACTACTTCAACTTGACAATAGCCACATATGAAGTCAGGCAAACGGTCGATGTCGAGAAGCCAATCTGATAATGTCCATCGATATAGACAAATAGTTCGTCAGTTTTAGTAGGGAGATGTGCATGGGTCGTGAAGGTATGGATATCATCAATGCGGCTCCAGTAACTTCTCTCTTGAAATCGCTGCCATGTCAAGCCCTTCGTTGAGTCCACGCTATTCTTAAAAAGCCTGGGAAATGCTCGGATAGGCATCTTGCAGGACGCACTCTCACCCTTTCTGTGCGATACCAACTAGTACGCAATCCTCAAAGATGACATCTCGTTGTCTCGTGCTAGGAACTGTCGCATCGAATTATGACGAGCCGGCTTATCTCAATCACGATACGGCGTCTCTCCTCGCCGCGCGCCGTCCCCCTGTGGGACGGGCGCATGATGGGGCCACAATTGACAACAAATTTGAGAAATTGACACTTCTATGGCGAGCTTGGACCATTCCTACTAGTCCGAACAACACATGGAACATCAGAACAATCGTTCTCTTCGGGAGATCCAGCTACGACAAACGGCTTCCCAACACCCAGTCGCGTCCGCTTGTCTGTTGACATGCTAGTCCCATCTTCCACCACCTTTGCTATAGTTCGCTGCTGACCGACGCCTCTTCCCTACAAAGCATAATGAACTACAATTGGCCAGTATGATGACTACGAGTTGGCTTGCATCTCATGGAGGGATTAGCTAATCGACGATTTGGAACGGCATAAAATTCTCACCTATGGGAGGCTTGGAGAACCCAGCGCACCGCCGTGCCTCAAGAGAGCGTGTCTGTTCCTTGAGTCACCACGCGTAAATTCCTCGCCGCAATCTGGACAGCTAGTCGCGGTCGTCCCAAGATGTTGCGTGGCAATGTGCTTTGCGAAGCTCCGATGCAGCATTGGCCGCTGCCATGTGCAGCCAACCCATTGGCACATTCCTCGGTCACCGGGAACCCAAATTATTCCACGCTCCTGCCCAAAATGATGTGTCCTAAGGTGAGCCTCTATTGCTCCGAATGAGCTGGACATAATGGGTACTCTGCAGTCACCCCAGCGACAGCGAATCTCTTGATTGTTTAGACTGGTGTGGAAGCTGTTTGGACTCCACTCGGTTGTGGTTTCAGGAGAGAGGGGCACATTTCCAGGAAATGGGACTGTGTGTGAGGCGGTGTCTTGACTCGTGCTCATCGTATGGGTGTATTCGATAGGACTGGCCGTCGATGGGCGAGGTTCGACGAAAATAGAAGACGATGGGTCGCAAAGCACTCCCAGATATGGCCAGATTTCTTGGGGGATATCAGCGGGAGCTATCATGGACATGAGAATATTGCGCAAATATATTTGCACTTGAGGGTGGATCATGATCGAGACCGTCCCACGGGTAGGCATTGGAGAGGGAAAGCCAGTGTTCAGGACCTGCGTTGGACCCTGGATATATTCCGTTTGTAGGGTCTCCGTATCACGCCGAAAATGCGTGGTAGTGTTATGAGCATTGTCAGCAACGTTCTGGACCCTTTGCACGCTCATTAAAGGGCCAGTGGTGGTGAGCATGGCCGGGTCGGAATTTTGATAGCCTCTGAAAGTCAATTGCGAGCTGAGTATCGAGTGCAAAACTTGAAATGGATGAATAACTCACGAAGAGTTCCCAAACGAGTAGCGGTTGTGCGACATTGAATGGGCTGAGCTGGGGCGAGCTCAATAGTAGCAGAAGAGGTCCAGCTTAACAAACGATTCCGAAAGAGAGCACAGCACATTGATGAAGAGAGACCTGTTCATTATAGTTAAATAGAAAATCTGAAGTTAGCGCTGGAAGGGCGGTGCATAATCAAAATTCCGGGTGGTGAGCAACGCAGCTTGCTCTCGTTTCTACAGAAAAGCGCTTCTACTCGGTGTCACTTCGGTGTCGGGATTGTGGTGCAGATTTCTGATGACTGTCACAAAATGGTGCTTCCAGTGGCTTTCCTTTGTATTTTCTTTGCGTCATGAGAAATCTGCCAGATTCAAACGGTTAATGAAGAGGGGCGTATATAGGTTATGGCGATCTGTACAAATTGAATGAGTTATTTTGAGAACTCACATGTTGCGTACAATACGAGGGTCGACTCCAGACCAGAACTGTACAGAATTCCAGTCTGAGTTTGATCGATATTGGTCAACCCAATAATTACATAATAATAAAAAGATCTAAAAAAAAAGGCGATGCAACTTTGAATATTTATGAGACAAATGTATAGATTTTTCCTCTGCCTAATGATGCAGAGAAAATGTAGCACGGATGATGCGCTTTATTCGCGCTTTAGAACCAACTTGATACCTCGGGGTCTTGACATCCAAATGAGCGATCAAAATCGGAGTAAAATGCGAGAGCGAAATCACATGCTACTTACCACAACGTTGTAAATAGGATATCCATGAGGATATCACCGCTCAAACCAAGCCCGAACGAAGACCACAGCTAGATGGTACGCAAATCGCGGTTATTATGTAACTTGTTAGGGCGTCAGCACCGAACATCAGAAAGTTCACGGATCATCATTATGTCTCATTTGACAGCTGCAATGACAGAAGTCAAGACCATACACATGTCATAGCTTGCAAGCAACGTTCCAGCGGCTTCAAAAGGTATCGACATCCCAAAGAATTGAACGATACGCAGCGCACAATGTGTAGCCTTGTCAACTGCTGGTCATTTCCTATTACCATGAAGTGCGCGGCTGCCTCAATCAAGTTATGTATTGAGTTGGATGGCGCGCTTGCCAATGCGTCAAGGGTGGTCGTAAGCTTGATCTAGGTTATCAATGAACGGCTGCGTTCTAGCAGAATTTCAATACGATGCCAAAGTACAGTATAATATTTGCGGGTCTCACGACTTTAACCACAATCGGTAACACCTTCAGCTGACATGCCGACTCCTGCGCGATTGCTTCATCGTCCCCGGTCGCTCCATAGCCAACTTCAAGGCCCGGATTGTTTGGACGATCTCACCTGAGAAAGTTGAAGCAGTATGAACAAAGCGATTTCGGAGTACTTACTAGCTATTTTGGGACTCTCAGCCTCAAAGTCGTATCGCTTATTCCTTTCGGCAGTAGTATGCACGATTAACTTGAAAGCCGAGCTGTTCTTACTAGACTGCTGGCAGTTCACTACGCTCTTCAAGTGATAAGAGGGTGTCTTGCCGCTGTCGAACATATGTTTCGCCTTGTTAGACATAGGCATAATCTGTGAGAGGCGATGAGCGTATTTGGAGGGCGAATACCAGACATTCTGACATGGATATAGCCTCCGTCAATGGCGAGAACCCGAGCGCTGCGAGTGACCAGCATCGGAACCTTGCGATAGACAGTGTATTTCTGTATAAGACGACCCTATTGAGAAGTTAAGAACTCGAGACGGATAGAAGGTTACCCTATAAGCGTTCGTGTAGTCGAATATGGAGTTGAATGAAGGTTCCGGCACTTCTGAGCTCCTTTCGAAGATCGAGGCTACACAAACGTAAATACGAATCATGAGATTATAACAAATGAAGTGTAATTCACCGTTAGGATCAGTAGTCCTACCAGATCCGTTACTCATCTCCACCCCATAGGCCTGAAGCATATTCTTCTTCACCAAAATGAGATCACGTTTTCCCTGCAAACTTCTCACTGTTCGATCGAGCGGTATGTATACCTTCGCAGAAATGAGATCAAGAATTAGCGCATAGTCCTTGGAATCAATCAGCTTGCGCTTCTGGCAGACATGATCAAGGACCTCGGCCATGTACATGCCACTCGATCTGCAAAAGATATATACCGTCAAATAGGCGAAAGAAGTAAAGTAGCACATACGCAGGTATAGTCGTCGATACATGTCCAGCATCAACGGTGTCAGCTATCCTGATTCTCAGGAACTGTGGGGGCCCATGGCTGCTCGATGGGCCAAGAGAGCTCGGGAACATGCCAACAGAAGACGCGAATGAGCCCATGCCAGCACTTATTCCTAAGAGTCCATCAAGAGCAGGAGGAGCCAACATAGTACCACCGCTAGTAGCGTTTAGAAGCCCGGTTGATTTCTTCTTCTTTATCACGATACGTGATAACCGACGCTGAATCTTGGCATCTAGGATTTTGTTCTGTTGAACTGTTGGTAACATGCATCAATACAGACATGAAAAACGCACGCAACAAGGGAATAACTAACCTTGGGCGGGAGTGGCCTCGAGGGCAGCATAGGCATCAAAATTGAACTTAGATATTCTCCCAGTACGATCAGGAGCTAACACGAGCTCTCATCAGCCAACGATCCCATGATTTTCAGAAGGAGACGTACGAGGGAAATCCTCGTCGACTTCTCCGTCATCCTCTGCGATCCGCAAGATCCATCCGACTGCGGAACAGCGTGTTTCCCATTTTGGATCATCTTCGCCTGAAAGACCGTCGTCCAATTTCGGAAGCCAACCTTCCTCCCAATAGCTCCACAACGCAAAGCCGAGAACCTCTTCTACTGATGCGTCGTTTCTGACTGTCAACTTCAGATGACGCCCAGCAGGTTCGCGCGCATGAGGGAAGTAGATATTAACGCCCATGCTTTCCGACTCAGAGCGCCCAGAGATGGCGCTGTATAGCTCGGTGAAGGGATTGGAAGAAGATGAACTAGAAGATTCAGCTAGCATTGTCGATAACGCAGATTTTCCAGGCTGTCTTGCAGAAACGGGACGACGAGCGAACAGATCTTGTGTATCAGCGTTGCCTCCGCCAACGAGATTGGAAGATGGCTTATCCGACACCTGGGCGCGCTGGTCCCTCTTGAATATAGGAACCACCATATCGAAGCCCACTTCAATCGGCGCCGACTCCTCTGGACGCTCCGGCATGATATCAATAGCTCGCTCTTCGCTGTGGCGACCCTCTCTAACCGGACTCAAGCGGTTGCGGACGCGGGCACTACTGCCGGGCTGCATGGATGAGGCAATTATGGAGGATGCCGAGGCCGATGTTGACATGAGCGAGTTCGCTCCAGACAAGATAGAGACTCCATCACTGTCAGAGTTGGTGTTCATACTGCTTAGCCCACGGCTTGCTGCATATTCCCTACACGTCGAAAATAAGAATGATCATAAGCTCGCTTTGCACCAAGGAGACGTACGGATCAAATACGTCCTCATCCATATCGATGCTGCTATCGGGAGGAACAAAGTCGAAGTCTTCATCCTCATCTTCGTCCTCATCTAATATCACCTCCTCGTCAGCTTCACCGTCGTCGTCGTCGACCTCCTCTTCCTCTTCCTCCAAGTCAGATTCAGACTCTGAAGATGAGAAGTCTGGTTTGGTATCAACAGTCGGGATGGGGAGCAGATCAACAGGGGGTGGTCGAGCACGAGCAAGTATGCGCTGTCTTCGCCTCGCCTCCATCTCCGCAGCACCCTTGAACTTAGGTCGAAATTCGGGAGATATCGCCTTCGGTAGATCCTTCTGCTCCTGTATTGGTGTGGTCGATTTGAGAGATGTAGCAGAACTAATTACAGTAGACTTGTCCGGGGAGTGAAGAACGTCCACGGCAGGTGAGGGTGCCGATGCGGGTCCGATGGGCATATTCTCTGGCGGATTAGTGTCTACAGCGATAACATTGGCAGTGTCTTTTTCAGAGCGTAAAGAGCGTAAAGAGTGTCGATACGAGCTCTTTAGCACCGAAGCACGTTTCCCAGAAACTCTGAGACCCATTGCACCTACGCGCGAAGGACCCATGATCGTGGTCGTGTATCTCAGCCCCGTCGCTCGAGGATAGCCACTAGGGCGATTGCTAGGGCCAGCTTCATCATCGCTGGGTACTGGGCTGGATGGGAAACCAAGCTCCTCCCACTTTCCGATGTCGGCGAGACCTGATGCGAGGACGTATGGATTGGAGTCATAAGAGGGGTCAAACGAGATCAGACGCGCTCCATACACATCTCCCACGTTACGAAGGTAGTTCAACCGCAAGGAATGAATAAGATAGCTGTGAATAACCTAATCAAGAACCACTCGTTGAGTAACAGGTGATAGGTACTTACTCGGGGTCACTGATGAGTGACATGCTGTAGTGAACGTTGAGCTAGAAGGTATAGTAATAGTTGTCACCACAGCGAGAATACGAGTGCTAGCAGTTGATTTGACAAGCAGATTCAGAGCGACGCATGTGAAGTCGTGGCTTGTAAACTAAGGTGAGAGGCAAGTGATAGTTGCCGCGCACTAGCGCCAACGCATGGAGACCTTAGGGCGTCTATTAAGTCATCTGATAAGATAATGATGCTTGAAGCTCGAGTAGGCTATGGCCTATGTAGATATTCGCTCACGGTTGGCACGTCTCTGTGAGAGGCCAATTGCACATAAGCAACGCACTCCACAAGTCGGAGGCGACTAGATGGATGGATGTTGTAGTATGGGTTTATGTTATACTCGGATAATTTGCTTTACTTTTGATCGAGCCGTAGCCTGTATAATAATCATGCCCGCTGGACACTGTCGAGCCCCACTAGCAAATCTACGTATCACAAGCTGGGGTAGGCGGCACGCCTATATTGTATGACATGGTCTGCCGGTGCACCAAACCCGGATGACCTTGAGGTCCACGCAAGCAGAATTTGAGCAAAGAGCTACTTTTAAATAACACACGCGCTGGGAGATCCACTAAGAAATACAGCCAGTGGCACCGCCCTCAATAGGTCTCTGGTGCGCCATACGAGCCCACGACACGAAGTACCACGATATCGAGGCGGACTCGAAGCGCAGATACGGACGTTTATGTGATATCTTACACACACAAAATGAAGAAGTTCAGCATGCAAAACACGCGACTCATGAGAAGGTATACTGGGCAGGTGATTGAATTAATGAGGCGTAAGCGTTCGGAATGGCGAAATTATCGCCGCAAAAATTCGGGGTGTGCTGGGCTGGCTGGGGTTCTGGCACACCATCTCTAATATTAAGACCCAGTGAAAAATGACATGATTTAAAATCAAAGACTGTGTCATACAATGAGGGAAAATGGGAAAAACTAAATTCACGTGAGTTAGAAACTTCAGTTTTCTTCACATGTTTTCAACGCAACCCATTGAGTGACCTGGTCTCCCAATCTATAACTACCCCTTTCCGCAAGGATTGAAACCCTGTGTCCCCAGGCGGATGTCGAGTTGGCAGAGGTATGTCCAGCTCTTCAAGGCAGGTTGATAACCTTGTCCCCCCGTGTTGCTGGCATTGTCCTGAGATCCAAAAGTGGTGATGTGACCTCAGGAAACCTAACCCTAACTTGGGGGTGCAAAGAAAAGGGTGAGTTTCTGTTTCTTGGGGAAGCTGATGGGGGTGAGGGCTTATAGTTGTGATAGCTCACTTGAACGGCGACGACTTCACTAGATTTTCTCGGGACGGTGTCACGAGGCTGTTTTGGACCATCCAAACACTCCAACTTCTCGTAGAAGCGGAGGGAAGGTAAGAGGGGAGCTGGCTCGACGACGCGAAGGTGAAGTATGATTCGAGCACAGACACACGGGTCTCGTCCAAAGGTCAGGCGCGAGAACGGAACTTTGGAGGACTTAGCTGTATGAGTAGGTGTGCTTCGAAGGGGGTGTACTGGTTGTAGACAAAGGTTGAAGGTCGTAGGCGTAGTTCGAAAGTCGCAGACGTAGTTCGGGGGGTCGTAGTTGTAGTTTGTAGGGAGACGCAACACTTCGAAAGCAAGTTTGAAGCCAGACTGAGCTCTGCTGAGTGGGGGATGTGATTCTGTGCAAGTCTCGCTACTAGGGGCCGAGTACTGGCTTACAACCATGAAAAACTGCTCTTAATATCCCTCATCCTGCCAAACCTCCTGAGTCACCGCCTCCACTGCCCTGACCATGCCGAACAATCCCGATATCCTTTCTACTCCCACCCGACGTCTCCATCAGTTTCTGATTCCCATCCACCGTGCTATTCCTGCTAGTCTTGGAGGCCCGACCGTTGATGCGACCTCGGGAAACCTAACCCTAACTTGGGGGTGCGAAGTAAAGGGTGAGTTTCTGTTTCTCGGGGAAGCTGATGTGGGTGAGGGCTTATAGTTGTGATAGCTCACTCGAATGGCGACGACCTCACTAGATTTCTTGGGACAGTGTCACGAGCCTGTTTTGGACCGTCTGAACACTCTGACTTCTCGTAGAAGTGGAGGGAGGTAAGAGGGGAACTAGTTTGACGACTCGAACGCGAAGTGCGATTCGAGCGTGGGCGCACGAGTTTTGTCCGAGGGTCAGGCGGCAGAACGGAACTTCGAGGGACTTAGCTGAACAAGTAGGAGTTCTTCGAAGGGGAGGGCGCAGGTCGTAGACGAAGGTTGAAAGGCGTAGGCGTAGTTCGAAGGTCGCAGGCGTAGTTCGGGGTGTCATAGTCGTAGTTTGTAGGGAGACGCAACACTTCGAAAGCAAGTTCGAAGCTGGAATGAGCTCTGCTGAGTGGGGGGATGTGATTCTAACGAGTCTCGCTACCTAGGGCCAAGTACTGGCTTACAACCATGAAAAACTGCTTTTAAATATCCCTCATCCTGCCGAACCTCCCGAGTCACCGCCTCCACTGCCCTGACCGCACCGAACGATCCCGCTATCCTTCCTACTCCTGCCCGACATCTCCATCAGTTTCCGATTCCCGTCCACCGTGCTATTCCTACTAGTCTTGGAGGCCCGACCGTTGCGAGTCTTGGCGTCGCGACCCGAGCGCATCGACTTAAAGGTTTACCCATCGGCCCTGTATTGTATGTTTCAATCTCCGGATGATGGGGTTTCGCCTTCGAAGTCGAGCCCCCGGAATCAAGCCGCCACCGAAAGATCCCAATCAGATTGTCGTGAGATCGCGAGGCTTCAAAGATGTCGAAGGGCGGGCCTTGTTACAGCCTGGAGGGGGGTTTCTTTTTCTTTCCTATCTATTCGTCGTT